CACACACACACACACACACACACACACACACACACGCACACACACACAGAGTACAATTTATAAATACTTTCCAATGCTATCCTCATCTAATTCTATTTTGGCAAAATTTTCCTAAGGATTTCTATTCCTTTATGGTATATCCTGATTTACTTTGACATGATTTTCAATTACATTTTAAAATGCTTTTCCATTTTTTTTTTACTTTCTCATACAATGTGGGAGCCCAGAACTGACTCAGTTTCCCAGATTGAATCTGAAGTCTATTCTGAGTCAATAGAATTCAAGTTTGTTTGCTCCAGGGCTGTGAGAAAGACCTAATTAGCCCACAGAGTCTCCTTGAAGGACTGTGAGAAAGTCCTGACTAGCCCGCAGGAAGGAACACACTGTCTAGCTAGACGCAGGTTGCTGATGCCAGCTGAAGGTACATAGAGATAGAAAATGAAACTGCCTGCTCCTTGATGCAAGGCAGGATAGATAGTGGTTGAATGCCTGTGCTGTGCATTGTTCTACCTCTGTCCTTCAAAATGTGTATAAGCTGGCTGTGAAATAAACTCGGGGCTGTGCGGCACTGACCGGCAGACCTCTCGACTCTTTTCTGTCCTCTTCATTGTCTCTACAATCCACACACCTCTACCCAGCTACCCAGCTGACTGTCAGCAGGCTCTCACAGTACAACATTATTGTATGAGAAAAAATAAATCATTAATATTTTCCTAGAAAATAACTTATCAACATGTAACACTGATGTCTAATAATATACTTTGTGCACTTACATTGCCTTAAAATATACATTGAAAGGATTGGAGATTTAGCTCAGTGGTAGAGCACTTGCCTAGCAAGCAAGCACAAGGCCCTGGGTTCAATCCTCAGCTCCAATATATATATATATATATATATATATATATATATATATATATATAGTCTATAACTGATGACCAATTAGTAACTTCTTCCTTTAAAAGCCTTTTACTATTATACTTCTGAAATTTCTCAAAAAAGAATGTTATAAGCCAACAGTTTCTTACCCTGTGGGTCATGACTATCAGAAAACACATTTCTGACGGTCTCAGGAACCCCCAACCATAAATTTATTTTCATTGTTACTGAGTAGTGTCTCAGTTTCTAAGACTACTGGAAATATTCACTTTCCAATTGTGGCAACCCACAGGTTGGGAACCACTGTTATAAGCTGTGAACACCAGATAAACTTCTCATATCCATTACATACGTAAGACTCCTCCACAGTACAAATTCTCTGAGGTGTAGCAAATTGTGAACTCCACATTTTTCACATTTAATTGGGTCTTATTCCAGTACACATTTTCAGTTTTGAACCCCAAATAGTCCTTCCACATTCTTTGGATTTAGTTTCTTTCACCAATATGGATTTTCTGATGAACATGAAGGGATGATCCATACCTGAAGTACTTTCCACAGTCATCACATTTATAAGGTTTTTCTCCAATATGGATTTTCTGATGAACATGAAGGGATGATCCATACCTGAAGTACTTTCCACAGTCATCACATTTATAAGGTTTTTCTCCAATATGGATTTTCTGATGATTAAATTCTGATGTTGAGTAAAATGTGATCTCCAAATGTAGGCTTTCCCACATCCCTCAACATCAGGGCTTCCTACTAACATGAAGATTCTAATGTTCAGTACAACATACACCACAAATAAGGGCTTTTCTCTTTTTTATTTAAAATTTTCTTTCATTTTACATACCAACACCTGTTCCCCCCCTCTCCCCTTCTTCTATCCCTCCCCCATCTCCCCCAATCCCACCTCTATCCCCTCCTCATAGGGGGTAAGGCCTCCCTTGGGTAGTCAACACAGGCTGGCATACCAAATTCGGGCAGGACCAAGCCCCTCCCCACTGCATCACAGCTGAGTAAGGCATTGCACCATGGGGAATGGTCTTTAAAAAGCTAGTTTGTGCCCCAGAATAAGTCCTGGTCCCTTTGCTAAGGGGACTCATAAACACATCAAGCCACACAATTGTCATCCACATTCAGAGTGCCTAGTGCAGTCCCATGCAGACTCCCCAGCTGTCAATCCATAAGGGCTTTTCTATATTCTTCGCACTAGTCCCATTTCACACCTGTATGAATTTTCTGATGCGTCAGCATTGATGAAAAACTTGACCACACTCTGAACATTCATAAGGGTTTTACCTGTTGTGGGATATTTGTACACTGTGAAGATGTATTGCTATGATTGATATAATAAAAAGCTAAATGGCCAGTAGCTAGGCAGGAGGTATAGGTGGGACTTCTAGGCAGAGAGAGAGGAAGGAGGACATTCTAGGCACACATGACATGCCAGGAGACAGGGAGAGGAAACAGGGGGTGCAAGATGAAAGAAAGGTAAAAAGCCCCATGGTAAAACATAGATTAATAAAAGCAGGTTCATTTAAGTTAGAAGAGCTAGTGGGAAAAGCCTAAGCTAAGGCCAAGCTTTCATAATTAACAGTAAGTCTCTATGTCATTATTTGGGAGCTGGCTGGTGGGACAGAAAAAGACTTGTTACGTTCACCAGTGTGGATTCTCTGATATTTGGTAAGATGTGATTTTTGAATAAAGGCGTTTCCACGTTCCTTACATTTAAAAGGTTTCTCTCCAGCCTGATTTCTGTTATGAAAATGAGTTTGAAACATGAACTTGAGTTTTCTTATGACGAGTGAGATTTGAATGCCGATTAAAACCCTTGCCACATTCTTTACATTCATATATTATTTTGCCAGCATTAACTACATAATGAATATTCTGATGCTGAGTCAGGTTTGAGCTGCGATTAAAACCTTTTCCACAAACCTCACATACGTAAGCTTTTTCTCCAGTGTGAATTTTTTGATGTGAAGTAAGATGTGATCGCTGAGTGAAGGCTTTTCCACAGTCGTCACATGCATACGGCCTCTCACCAGTATGAACTCTGTGATGTTGAGCTAAGTTTGACTTCAAAGTAAATGATTTTCCACATTCCTTACATTCATAAGATTTCTCACCAGTATGAATTTGTCTATGTAAACTAAGTTGTGAAGGAAATCTAAAAGATTTTCCACATCTCTTATATCTAAAAGGTTTCTCTCCAGCCTGATTTCTGTTATGACTAGTAAGAGCTGATCTAGCATGAATTTTCTTATGGCGAGTGAGATTTGAATGCCTATTAAAACCCTTGCCACATTCTATACATTCATATATTTTCTTGCCAGCACTAATCACATGATAATGAATGTTCTGATGCTTAGTCAGGCTTGAGCCACGATTAAAAGCCTTACCACAGACTCCACATACATAAGCTTTTTCTCCAGTGTGAATTTTCTGATGTGAAATAAGATGTGATCGCTGAGTGAAGGCCTTTCCACAGTCATCACATGCATATGGCCTCTCACCAGTATGAATTCTGTGATGTCGGGTTAAGTTTGACTTCAAAGTAAAGGATTTTCCACATTCCTTACATTCATAAGATTTCTCACCAGTATGGATTCCCTGAAGGCCAAATATTCTTGAATGCAAACTGAATGGCTCTCTAGATTCCTTCCGTTGATGAGTTTTCTTACCACAGAGAACTTGCTGAAAGTGAGTGAGTTCTGAATAAGGAAGAAAGGATTTCCCACAGTCCTTATCTTCATGGAATTTGTTACCAGGGTGAGTTAACTGAGGATGAATATGGTCTGATCCAAAACTGAGGGCTTTTTCACATTTAAATTCATTTGCTTTCTCTCCTGTATTAAGTCTCTGGTGACTCAAAACTGTATGTTGGTTCACAGTGAGCATTTTTCCACAGGTAAGTGTCAGTTGCTTGAAGTATTCCTGATTTTGATGTGTTTGAAATCGATTTTTGTCTTCCCAATCATCTCCAAAACATAAGTCTTCAAGACTGTGTTTTCTAAAAAATTTCTTCATTTCCCATTGAGATGATTCTTCATATGTGTTAGTGTTTTTCAATAACTTCTTGTTCTGATAACTGAAATCTATGTCTGAAAGATAAGTATGTACTGTTTATCCAAAAAGAGATAAAGCATGCAATATAAAAAACTAAATCTTACAGCATAATGCAAAAGAGATGAATGGCTTTAAAATGGAAAAATTATGAATATGAAAAAGGAACAAAGAATAAATATAAATTTAAAAGAGCCAATAAAAGCCGGGCCAGGTGAGAAAAGCATAAGTTTTTCTTTGACTACATTCATCTAAGGAATCAAAGAAAAAAAAAATGACTGACCAGGGAACTGATTAATAACAGAAAACGAATTCTAGGTTGTTTCACTCATTATGCTCTAATCAAGTCAGCAAACTAACAACAATTCTGGAATGAATACATGACAAAAAAGGGAATGATAGGCTTAGGATGTAATAAATGATATTACACAAACCAGGGTTCAGTAGTCATGAATGGAATAATCTAATTATATAATAACAGTATAACACACTACACTGTCTGATCCTTTCATCTCTACTGAAATGACTACAAACATGACTTCACATGACTTTCTGTACAAACTTAAGAAAAAAAACACCTAGGTGAGTTTAGTGAAGAACAATTTTAGAGATTGTCATACTTCATTGTTCCATTTCCTTTGCATATGAAGTATTTCACCGATTTATTTCTTTGACTATGCATAGCAGTGTCAGGTTTTCCTCACATGATCTTTTTTTTTCTTGATTTTTTTTTCTTACTTTTTTTCTATAAAAGTATGTAAACACAGTATGCTTATGACACTGAGTCTTTCCACAGATCTTTTTCCCTTCTGAGGCAAACAAACAAACAAAAAAGCCGCACAAAAATAAGATATTTTCATAGTGTACATAAGGTCCTGTCTTCAATACTCAGTACCTCCAAAAGGAAAAAAAACCATAATGGGGCTGTAGCCCACTGGCAGCCCTCTTAGTGTGAAGTCCACTACACAGAAGTTTAAGATTGTGCTCTAGGGGATAATAAAGAGTTTCATAACACATAAGATAAAATAAAATAAAATAAAGGAATAAGTCCACTAAATAGAGGAAACACAAGCAAGGAGAAAGCAGATTTAAAAAAATTAACAAGGGGGCTTGACCAGTGATTAAGAGCACTGGCTGCTCTTGGAGAGGACATGGGTTTTGTTTCCAGAACCTACATGGTAGCTCATGATCATTGGCAATACCAGTTCCAAGGGATCTGACATCCTCTTCTGGTCTTCTCAGACACTGCATCCATGTGGTAGACATACACAAAGGCATCATACACACAAAGTTTTAAAAATTTTAAAAATTCACAAGGAAGTGGGTAAAATGGGGGGGCTCATAATTTGTAAGATAATGAAGGTTATAAATGTCTGAATGAAAATTATAGAAAGCAAGAGGAAGAACTTGATCCCAACCATCCACAAAATGGTGATCAATGGAGAGGAAGAACAGCATTTGCCTCTCTGTAATGTGAAGGACAAGTAAGAGCACATAAATGGAATGGTAGTGTGCTATGAGCCACAGGAATATGTAGTAAAAATTCAGCTGACTATAGTAAAGCTATACCTGGAAGAATCAAGGAATTCTTCCAAAGGAAAAGCCAAATCTCAAGGAGTATTTGGTGTTATTCAGCTTTTAATAGATCAGCTGTTTCCTGCTATGAATTTCATGTGCGCTCTCATAGCTTCCCCCAAGAACTTCTAAGGTATTTAGATACAGTCATATATGCAAGGTTTCCTGCCTCTGAGACTTCTGCTTTTCTTTTTTAGCATTAAACCTTTAGCTAACATCCAAGGACAAAGCATTTCAGACCAACTTCTGGTCACCTGAATTAAGGTAAACACCCATATGGAGGCACTGCCTGTCTCCTCGGCCAGGTAGACATTAGGTACAGAGCTTTGTTTCTTGTGCAAATTAAGCTCAGACCCTCCTTTCTTATACAGCCTTAGTGGTATTTATATTAACATTATAGACACCTAAAAATTTACCTAATCACTTTTAAGAATATAGTTTGAGCACATAAATTCCCTTTTTCTGATATATTAACTGACTTTAGCTCTTAGTTGACCTCCTCCCTTAACCACTCCCAATTTGGGTTGTAAAAGAAAACCTGATGGTCACTGCCTGAGGAAAACTCTTATCTGCCTTTATGACCCTGTAAGAATTCAAGCCTGGTGACCTTGCCTTAGCCAGAGCATTGCTATTACATGGGTATATAACTGCAAACCTCAGAGACTGGGGGACTAGATTGGAGAAGTGGATGGAGAACTAGAAGGTCAAAAGGTAGATGAGGAAGAGGGTGATGGGGAAGAACTAAGTGGGTAAGAATGAGAAGTGAAAGACCTAGATGGGGCAGAACTAAGATGAAGGAATTAAGATAGCATTTAGAGGGAACAGTAGAAAAATGTAGAGAGAATCAGGCAAGAAAGAAGCTAAGTATGAGAGTATAAAAGAAGCTGTGTAAAGAGAAAACTAACTCAGAAGAATAAAGTGTATGGACTAAAGAGTTTCATGTGTGTAGATTTATTAGTCAACCCCTCGGATTAATCTGTTGCTGGTAGCTTCTGTTCTAGAACTCTGGGTGATGGCTATCGAGGGGCTGGACCCCAATAGCTTCCATTAGTAGTGGGAGTGAAAAGAAAGTTAATCTGGAAAGGTTTTGCCCTTGACAACTGTGTCAAGCCTTTGGCCAGTGAAAAGCTATTTCAATGGTATTCTTGCCCATGAAGAAGCTAGACTATTGTGTTGGCTCATTCTATGTCCACTTGACATAAGTCAGAGTTATCTGAATAGAAGGAACCTAAACTGAGAAAATGCCTCCATAAGATCCAGCTGTAAGGCTCTTTCTCAGTTAGTGACCAATGGGGAAGGGCCTAACCCACTGTGGGTGGTACCTGGTGGTCCTGGATTCTATAAGAAAGCAGGCTGAGCAAGACACAAGGAGCAAGATAGTAAGCCGCAACCCCCATGGCCTCTGCATCAGCTCCTGCTTGAGTTCCTGTTCTGACTTCCTCTAATGATGGACTATGATCTAGAAATATAAGCCAAATAAACCCTTTCCTTCCGAGCCTTCTTTTTGGTCACGGTGTTTAACCGCATCTATAGAAATCCTGACTAGGACAGCTATCATCTATACTGATGACTGTCCCATTCTACCTTAGCCCTCACTCACCTGGATAAAGTCCTCTTGTCTCATCCATCAAAATCATCCTTGGGTCTTTTCTTTTTTCTAATAAGGAGAACAGGTGTGGCAGATGAACACAGAATCCTGCCCAGAGATTTTTGAAAAAGGAAATGAGCACATGGGTAAGAATTCCACAATTATCATCTGATCCCTTGGTTATTAAGAGACAATAGGAACAAGAAAAAGCCAAAAAGCATTTCTGAGGGAGGAGGAAGATGAAGGATCCCAGTGATAGTGACTATTTCCAATCTTATAAATTATAAACCATTTTCACACAAATTCCTCCACACCCTTGAGAAAGAACCCCTAATAATGCAGGACTTTCTAGGGCTGAGTTCTGACTCACCCACTGAGATGAGGTGGCTATAGGTCTCCATCATCACATCTGTGTATAAAGTCTTCTGTTCTATATTCAGGCACTCCCACTCTTCCTCAGAGAAGTCTATAGCCACATCTCTGAATGTTACCAGCTCCTTAAAGGACACACCAAATATCAGAGGTGAATTTATAGAAACTGTTTAGATGGAAGGGGAAACTATGAAAAAGCAGTGGCCAGAAAAGATAATGACTGTCTAGAGTTGGTAGTCTGGAGTATGGCAGGAAGAGATATGGAAATAAATGTAACTAACAAAGCTAAGTGCCTGTAGGCATTTAAGATCTCCAACTGCTGCTGGGGCTTGTTGGCATGCACCTATAATCCCCAGCACTGGAGGCAGAGGAAAGCAGAGCTCTGTGATTTCCAGGCCTAGGGAGTCCACATAGTCAGTTCAGGCCAGACAGGGCTACATGGTGAAACCCCTGTCTCAAAAAAGAAGAGGAAAGAAAAGAAAAAAAATGAGTATGGTAGCCCCAAATAAAATAAGGCCATAGGGCATCTACTGACATTGTTCAGACAGCTGAGAATCAATAGCAGCAGATTATTACCTGAGAAAAAAATTGAGGTGTTTTACTTTTTTTTTTCTTTCTTTTTTTTGAGTAAGTTACTACTAGTTGGATTTTCTAATCCTTTAGTAATTTAAACCCTTAGACAATTTAAACAATTCAACTGCCAGGGAAGCAGGAAGCAGATAGGCTGACTGCAGATCTTTACCCCTCCCTCTGCTCCTCCAAATCCAATCCCTCAGTCTCATCCCCAGCTCTACGGCAAAACACCTGCTGCAGCCTCCTTCCTCCCCCACCCCTCCCTCATCCCTAGTGGATCTCAAAGGCCTTCCCCTCCTAACCTCTCTTCCCCAGCTTGTTGCTTTATTCCAGCCCCCAACTCCAGCAGGCACTCCCTGCAGACCCACAGGCCACTCTGGCCAGGGTGGCACGTAGGTTAACTGCATATCCTCACATCTGCTACTCCTCCAAATCCAAACCCCCAGCCTCATGTCTAGCTCTGTAGCAGACTTTCCGCTGCAGCCTCTCCTCACTCTCTGCCCCCATTCCCAGGGGACTAACTAATAAGATCCTGACAGAACACCCTGTTTTCCACCCTCCTATGGATCCCCCTCTCAACACCCCAACAGCCTGTGTCCATTCCTAGGTGTCAGCTTCCAATACCCAGAAATATATTTTACCTAGAACCCCCAGTATTCACACATATCAGGACCTCCAAAGAATTTCCTACTAGACAGCATACAGCCACCACACTCTCCTAAGAACCAAAGAGGAAACGGAAACTGAGGAACAAAACTCCACTCAACAAAGACAAGACCAATATCAGCACCTAGAATTATAATCTTCCCAATTCCAGATGCCAAGACTCCAGTGTAAAACCACAATCAGTAAAAGCAAGGTCAATGTCTCCACCAGAGCCCAGCAACCCTCCCACAGCAGGCCCTGAATATTCCAACATAGCTGAAACACAGGAAAAAGACCTTAAAACAGTCTATATGAATATGACGGAGGTCCTTAAAGAGGGAAATTAATAAATCACTTCAAGAAATCTAACACAAGCAATGGGAGAAAATTAATAAAATTGTTAAGACCTGAAGGTAGAAATAGAATTAATAAATAAAACCCAAACTGAAGGAAATATGGAAATGAAAAATTTAAGAACTCAAACAGGAACCACAGAGGTAAGCTTCACCAACAGAATATGAGGTGGAAGAAAGCATATCAGGCATTGAAGACAGGATAGAAGAAATGGGTACATTGATCAAAGAAAATGTTAAATGTAAAATACTCCTGGCATACAACATGAAGGAAATCTGGGCAGTATAAAAGACCAAATCTAAGAATAGGAATAGATGAAGAAAAAACTCAGGTCAAAAGCACAGAAAATATTTTCAACAAAATCATACAAGAAAAATCCCCTAACCTAAAGTAGGAGATGTCTATTAAAGTACAAGAAGCATACAGAACACCAAATAGACTGCACCAGAAAAGAAAATCCCCTTGGTACAAAATGATCAAAACACTAAATGTACAGAACCAAGAAAGAACAGTAAAAGCTGCAAGGGAAAAAGACCAAGAAACCTATTGTGGAAGAATCTTTTTGTATACTGTGAAGATGTGTCACTCTGATTGGTTTAATAAAAAGCTGAATGGCCAATAGCTAGGCAGGATTTCCAGGCACAGGGGATGCTGGGAAGAAGAAGGAGAGACACCAGGAGACTTGGAGGAAGCAGCATGGGTATTTACACAGTAAAGGTAACCACATCATGTAAAATAAATAGATGAAGAGATATGGGTTAACTTAAGGTATAAGAGCTAGTTAGAAAGAATCCTAAGTTGTCAGCTGAACTTTCATAATTATTAAGTCTCTGAATCATTATTGGAGAGCCAATGGTCCCAATGAAAAAGTCCAACTACAGAAACCTATTAGAATTACACCTGACTTCTCAATGGAGACTCTAAAAGTCAGAAAGGCCTGGACAGATGTGCTGCAGTCAATGCCACACAGCCCTGAGTTTATTTCACAGCCAGCTTATATATATTTTGAAGGACAGAGGTAGAACAATGCACAGCGCAGGCATTCAACCGCTATCTATCCTGCCTTGCGCCAAGGAGCAGGCAGTTTCATTTTCTATCTCAATGTACCTGTGGCTGGCATCAGTAGCCTGCGTCTAGATAATGTGTTCCTTCCTGTGGGTTAATCAGTACTTTCTCACAGCCCTTTAAGGAGACTATGCAGGCTAATCAGGACTTTCTCACAGCCCTGGAGCAAGCAAGCTTGAATTCTATTGACTCAAAATAGACTTCAGATTCAGATGAAAAACTGAGTCAGTTGTTGGCTCCCACACTGGTGTAGCCATTAAAGTATCTGACAAAATAGATTTCATACCAAAACTAATCAGAAGAGACAGGGAGGGACATTACATACTCATCAAAAAGAAAACTCCCCCAAAAGAACATTGCAATTTTTAACATCTAGGCACTAAACTCAAGGCTTAAAAGCAACATGACTACAGCTTAAATCACATATTGACCCTTACACATAGATGGTGGGAGATTTCAATAACCTACTCTTGCCAATGTACAGATCATCCAGACAAAAAAATATGCAGAGGAATGTTGGAACAATCTGACATTATAAACCAAATGGACCTAACAGATATTTACAGAACATTTCACCCAAACACAAAAGAATACACCTTCTTAACACCTCACAGAACTTTCTCCAAAATTGACCATATATTCAGACACAAAGAAGGTCTCAACTCAACATGTACAAGAAAATTGAAATACCAGACTGCATCCTACCTGTCCACCATAGATTAAAGTTGGATATCAACAACAACAGAAACAATAGAAAGCTTACAAACTCATGGAAACTGAACTCTCTACTGAATGAAAAATGGATCAAGGCAGAAATTAAGAAAGATTTTCATGGTGTCCCAAATTTCTTGGACGTTTTGTGTTACGACTTTTTTGGCTTTAGTGTTTTCTTTGACTGACGAATCTGTTTTCTCTATTGTGTCTTCAGTGTCAAAGATTCTCTGTTCCATCTCTTGCATTCGGTTGGTTATGCTTGCATCTGTAGTTCCTGTTCGTTTAGTCAGGATTTCTATTTCCAGCATTCCCTCAGTTTGTGTCTTCTTTATTGTCTCAATTTCAATTTTCAAATCTTGAATTGTTTTCTTCATCTGTTTAATTATTTTTTCTTGGCTTTCTTTGATTTCTTCTAATTTTTTGTTTTTTCTTCTATTTCTTTAAGGGAATTTTTTTATTTCCTCTTTAAGGGAGTTTTTTTATTTCTTCTTTAAGGGCCTCTATCATCTTCTTAAAGTCACTTTTAGGATTGATTTCTTCTGCTTCTGCCTTGGTATGTTCAGGTCTTGCAGGTGTAGAATCACTAGGTTCTGATGTTGTCATATAGGTCTGTATGTTGTTGCCTATATTTTTGCACTGGCATCTACTCATCTCTTCCTCCGCTTGGTGCAGGTGGTGTCTGTGTCTGAAGGTGCCTCTCTTGTTCTAACTGATAGTCATGGTCCACTAGAAGTTCTTGGTCGAATCTGTACTGATGGGCTCTGTTTCTCCAGGAGCAGCTTAGTCCAATCAGTGTTAGTGGGTTCTGTCTCAGGGAGCAGTTGTTCCCAGTTGGTGTAGGGTGTGCTTATGGCTCCAGTGGTTGTTGGGTTCACAGGGGCTGGGTTTTTTTGGTGAGGGAGCAGGGAAAGGTAGCTGCCTGGTCTCTGGAGCTCCGGTGACTGGGGCCTAGAGGCTAGAGACCTGGTCTGCTGGTCCGGAGATGGGGCCTTACCTGTTCCCAGTCGGTGTACGGTGGGCTTATGATTCTGGTGATCTGGTTCGGTGGCTGGACGGCTCCTTCTCTTGCGTTCTCAGGTCGAGGTTTGCTCGATTGCCAACTCCTCAGCTGATCTTGTTTCCTCAGACTGAAGGCTGCTGGCTTCTGAAACTCCTCCCAAATGGATCTTAGCTGAACAGGTTGATCAGTAGGGTACTAACACCTCCAAGTTGTTGGGGTTCGCAGGATTGGCAGCTGGGCCCCAGGTTGGACTTGGGCAGAATGTTCAGGTCCTTTCTGGTTGTGTCCCATGGAGACGGCTCCTTCCCTGAGTGCTGGGATTAAACGCGTCCCTGCTCCAAGCTCTTAATCTCCATGCTCTCGCCAACTCCTCAGCCTGAAAGAGCTCTCTGTATGATGATTTTTAAAGTGTTTTGCAACAAGGTTTCTCTGTGTAACCCTGGCTGTCCTGGAACTCACTCTGTATGCATTTATTTATTTATTTACTATGTTTTCCATTACTTTTTTGTTTGTTTGTTTTTCTTTTTCGAGACAGACAGGGTTTCTCTGTGTAGTTTTGGTGCCTGTCCTGGATCTTGCTCTAAGAAAGATTTTCTAGAATTGAATGAAAATGAGCTGGACTGGAGAGATGGCTTAGAGGTTAAGAGCACTGGCTGCTCTTCCAGAGGTCCTGAGTTCAATTCCCAGCAACCACATGGTGGCTCACAACCATTATAAGGAGATCTGGTGCCCTCTTCTGGCATGCAGGTATATATGCAAACAGAACACTGTATACATAATAAATAAATAAATCTTTAAAAAAAAAAAAAAAGAAAAGAAAATGAACCAGTAGTAGTGGCTCATGCCTATAATCCTAGTACTTGGAAGGTAGAGACAGGCAGATCTCTGTGAATTCAAGACCAGGCTGATCTACAGAGCAAAATCCAGGAAAGCCAGGGCTACCCAGAGAAACCCTGTCTTGAAAAACCAAATCAAAAAAGAAAAGAAAAGAAAGGAAGGAAGGAAAGAAGGAAGGAAGGAAGGAAGGAAGGAAGGAAGGAAGGAAGGAAGGAAGGAAGGAAGAAAATGAATACACATCATCTCCAAACTTATGGAGGCAGGTAAGAGGCAAGTTCACAGCACTAAGTACCTGAATTTAAAAAAAAAAGAGGGTTGGGGATTTAATTCAGTGGTAGAGCACTTGCCTAGCAAGCAAGTTTGGTCCTCAGCTCCAGAAGAAGGAGGAGGAGGAGGAGGAGGAGGAGGAGGAGGAGGAG